ACGTGCACGAGTTCGTCCTGAGAGCAGGTGATCTCTGCGGGCTTCTTTGTCGGGACAACAACTTCATTTTACTTCCCACCATATTGCCATACATACAACTGCTGGAGTGCGCGCCTGCCATCACTTTCAAGAAGAGGTAAATGCATAAGACTGATGGCCGACGCAAGTCCACGTTGGCCGCATCTGAGATACAAATCTTTCGGCACCTGCGACGGCGCCTGCGCTAGCGCGAAGCCGAAGGGGCCTGGTGGATCGGGCCTCTGCCAGAAACTGTCGAGCTTGGTAAGCTCCAGCAACTCGGCATCCGTGACCAGATGCACCGCCTTCGTGTTATTGAAATCTGTTGGCAGGCCTCTGCGTACTGGGATACCCCAATCGGGATCCAGCTTGGAGGTGACCTGCCATCCAGCTGGTTGTGGTTATTTTCCTTTCTTCATATTTGTTGTGGCCTTCTCGGCGTTCTTGACTGCTGAAGATGCCGTGGTGCCAAGAGGCTGCTCTTTCAGCCAGGCGTCGATGGCCTCTGTGATCTCGGCGGTGGGCAAAGCTGCAATCGTCTTTATCCGATCCGCCGAGAATTTTTTGAGATGATCGCATACTTGTTGGGCATTGTGGTCACTCTGAAGTTCGAGGACCGCACATGCTCTTCCTTGAGCTGTGGCAGGTGTCAATCGTGCCAATGTTTGTTTCCATCGTCTTCTTCTGGGTAGGCCCATTACCACGAAGAGCATGCTGTAGTTTGTTCCAGGCACTGTGAGGCAACGCCCAGTCATATAATAGAAGTCGCCTCATCCGTCGGCGGCCGAAAAGGACTCCACTGGGACAATCATCATATTTGTCATCATGCAACCAAGCACTGATGTCATACAAATAGCTGCGATAATACTGGAACATAAGATATTCCCATTCACCATCGCAATCACATTGAATCTTCGCGTCCAACCCCTCAAAGTTGGACGACGCCACAACCGAGTACATCGGGCCGACGCACAGAAGGTTGATCCTGAGGATGTGCTTCATCATCTTCTTGTGGCTCCTATTCGCCCCCCTCCTTCCCCCCCTCCTCCTCCCGCGCCGGGCACAACGTACCCATGGGTGGTTTGGCCGTTTTCCCCCTAGGAAAAGAGATAGATCTGCGCACAGGCAGCTACCTTGATGAATGTTTCCACGAACGCAAGCTGACACGCAAACTTTACACAGGCGGACGCGGGTCGCTCCTCCTGCGCGCGGGCGGGCTGCGCGCGCCGGGAAAAAAAAAGGTCGACCACTGCGTGCCATCGCGTCCTGCGCGAACGCTGCCCCCGAATTCTTGTCTCCCCCTCGGTGTCCGCGGCTTCGAAGGACGGGTGGATGATCCTCCTGAAGTGGCCCGCGGCTGCACTTGCCTAGACTGGGAGCAGCCGCAATGCCCAACCTCCCCGTCGCAAGGGATGGCGCGGGCCTGCTTGGACGACCCCTGTTCGAAAGCGCGCCCGCCCCGCCGCGCCCGGTCCATCCATGCCAACGTCCACCGCGTGATCGGTTTCGCGCTGGTCCCCCCCTTGTGGCAATTCCCCACCGCCGCCTCTAGCATTGCAGTGGGCCAGCCACGAATATGTGACCCCCCTGCGTTCGCCTGGATTTTCGGCCGCCCCGCGAACTGGTTCCCGTTGTTACAGAGTGGGCCATGCTGTCGGACGAACTTCTATCCTTCGCCGTGCTCGTCCTGCCCCAGAGGCTGCTTCCGCTCGTTCTGCGGCTTCAACGTAAAAAAAACACCAGCTTTGAACCCCCTCGAGCTTCCCCAGCATGGGTTGGAAAGCTGCGGTGAATGTTCTGCAGTTCTTGTCGCAGTTGATATCGTGCGCCTCGCCGCTCGCAACGGCCAGGATGGGCGCGGAGCCCGCCATTCTCTCTCGGAGCCGATCGCCTTCAAGATGCGGAACTGCTTGCAACTGCCGTCCTCGGGGGCACTGCGCGCGACGAGCAACTGCATGGCGCAGGGGGCGGCTGGCTCGCGCCTGAAAGCAAAGGGCGACTGCATTTGAAGCGGCCCTGGCAACGCAACTCGTGCCCCCGCGCAAAATCGAAAGCGCCCTCGCGACTCATGATCATGTCCGCGACCGCGAACGCAGCGAACTTCGTGGCGCCGCCGCGCGAGATCGGCACTAGGGGACGGTCGAGAATCGCCAGAGAAGACAGCCAGCTTTTTCGCAGCATTGCGGGGGTGGCTGTCGAGATCGTTGCCGCTCACTGCAAGGGTCGCGTCTTCGAAAGGGAGCGCGGCGTCGCCCGCCGCGTCGTAGGCGATCTCGCCAGGCGCGCGCGCGCGCTGGCGGCAGGCGCGCTCGCCGTAGCAGGCAAGGGCAGCATGGAAGCGCGAGCGGCGACGCGGACTGGCAGACGAGCCAGCGCGTTCTGAGCACACCCGAGCTGCGGGAGGAGGGGGCGGCGGGGGATCCGTTTCGTGGATCCCCCCTTCTAGCCCTGGCGGGCGCGCAATGAACGCGAAAAACCGGTACTCCAGATTTCGTAATAAAGGGAGGGGGGTCTCATATCGGGGGGGGTCTCTTCCAGGCTATCTTGGAGGGCCTGGGGGTCTGGGGACGATGTTTTGGAGGGTTCTCCCACGGGGGAGGTCTGAAATGGCTTGTCTTGGAGGGTCCAGACCCCCTCCCTTTTATTACGAAATCTGGAGTAGCCCTTTTGTCGGTCACCCTCGCCACCTGCCTCTCGCGTGCCTCGTTCGCCCCGTTCTGGTTTCCCGGCGGTTTCCCCGTCGCCCGTCGCCGACCCGTCGCTGTGCCCATCTGGCGTTCCCCGTTGCCCCCTCTCATGCCCCTCGCTCTCGGCCCGCCTCGCCCCGCGTTGCAACCTTCGCGTCGCCGGGCGACCCGTGGCGACCCTGCAGCGACCCAGCGGACTTGGGCGAAGGCCCGAAACGAAAGAATGGCACAGCGTCTTGCTTAGCACGCAAACGTTGATGTCGCAAGTCTTCCGCACGCAGGAAACATGCTCGAAGGAGGGAACGGAGCGGAACGTGCCCGCAGCAACATATGATCGTTAGCGGGCTGCCCCACGCATGGCAGGGGGGGCATTCACTTTTGGATGCCGCCTCCTGCCATTTGAACATGTGGAGGATGACGCGAAGGGGGATGCCACCCGCAGCGGGGCGGACTTGGGCGAAGGCCCGAAGCGAACAAATTGCAAAACGTCCTGCTTAGATAACGAACATATTTCGCAAGTCTTCCTCGTGGAGATAAGACCCTCGCAGAGGGGAGCGCGGCGGAACGTGCCAGCAGCAGCAGTTGATCGTTAGCGGATTGCCCCACGCAGCTGAGGTGAAGGGCATACATTTTTGGACGCCCCCCCGCGCCGCAGGAGAATGCGTCGGGGGACGAAAGGAGGGAGGACAACCGCAGCGTGGCGAAACCCGCGGGGATGCCAGAACTTCTGCAGACCTGCAGAACAACAACAAAACAAAAAAAACACGGCATCTGGCAAACGTCCCTCGGCCATCGCCGGAATTCTACCGAACTCATTGCTTGCGTGTGGCTTCGTGGGCCCCGGAAACGGCAGGGCCCTTCTTTCACCGCTTCCGAAAGAAATGCCCCTTGAAAATGGAAACGGCAACAAAAACGGCGACCGGTAACGGCAACAAAAACGGCTCCAGGATTGGAACCGGAGCGGAAACCCGTAAAAGAACGGCGACGGAACGAGAAAAACAACGGCGTCGGAACCGGCAACAAAAACGGCAAAACGGAACGGGTTAAAAAACGGCCCTGTCGTTTCCAGGGCTCACTATGGTGTGCGGTTGTTGTGGTTTGTGTGTGCTGTTGTTTGTGGTGGCCATGTTTTGCGAGGTGCTCAAGAACGCAAAAACAAAAAAAAAAAAAAAAAAAAACGCCCAGGCCTGCATCGTGCCTGGCACCGCTCCTCCTGTTACTCCTGCTCATCCTCCTCCCTCTCCTCCTCCTCCTCCTCCTCCTCCTGCTCTTCCTCCTGCTCCTCCTCCTGCTCCTACACCTCCTCATCCTCCTCCTCGTCCCTCCTCCTCCTCCTCCTCCTCCTCCTCCTCCTCTTCCTCCTCCTCCCTGTCCTCCTCTTCCTCCTCGTCCTCCTCCTCCTCCTACTCCGCCTCCCAAGCCCCGTGGTGTCTACATAATGCAGGTCAGCATGATGCCGATAGCTTTCTGCAGCACGTCAGACTCTCAGAATGTGGTCTCCTGTCGGCCAACTTCTGGGATCTGTCCATCTTGAAGCTGCAAGATCTCACGTGTTCTCTGATGGTCGCACCATCCTTATGCACCCCTTATGCCTAAGCCAGCTTGGTTGTCTTCTTCCACCTCCGCCTCAAGCGAAATCAATACGAATACACAGTTTGATCCACATAAGTTGGAAGTACACGAGGACGTGCGAGTCTGAAGGATGTGCACCGCGGTCGTACCAGAGCGCCCAACGACACACTGAGGGCGTTCCAGAACGCCATGGAGGGATCTGTACCCATCCCAGGACTGCCTGAACCTCATCCCTCATCCTCCCTTGCTTTTTTTTGTTTCTCTCTCTCTCTCTCTCTCTCTCTCTCTTTCTCCCCTTTACCCTCTTCCCCCATCCCTCCCAAATCATCCTTCTCTCGCATGGTCTTGGATGGACCGTGCACGCAGGCTGCACTCGGTACGGGTGTTTTGTGAACGCGTGAGTACTCGTCGTGCGCGCCCCGTCAGCCCACACCTGCCTTCCAGGTCGGAGCGGGGGCTGGATTTTGGTCCAGCCCGCAGACTGCGGCCAGCGTGACCCCCCGGCGGGGCCAGAGAGCATGATATGACCAACAGAACCACTGGCGGATCTGCGGATCTGCTGGATCAGCGAAGGCCCAGCGAACAGAGAACATTTGACCCTTGGGCACTAATCCAGAGGTGGGCCCCACCCCACCCACCCGTCAAGCTCGCTGTCTAGGCGCCCACTCTCCCGCCCCCTCCCCGATGAACTCCAAGGGCGCGCCCCATCCCGCCGAAGGGATCCTGCCGCAGCTCCTCCATGAAGCGGTTGGTATCCAGGGCCAAGTCCTCACAGGCGCGCCTCGGCTGGGCGACGTTCGGCCGCTTGAGCACTATGCCGTTGTATGTATGTACTTCCATAAATGTGCGAAATTCCGGAAATGTGCAAGAATAAAACAACGGCATAAACATCATAAACTGTTGGCGCTCCGCGCCGATTTCTTGGATCTGCGCGGGATCCCCTCCCTGGCGCGCGGAGCGCGCCAAGGGCGGCGGTAGAGGCGCCGCCAGAGGGCCCCAGCGCGGATCCAAGAAATCCGCGCGGAGCGCCACAAACATATGATTATGGCGTGTATATGTTTTCGAAAATATGTTTTGGCATCAGGGGGTCTCGCCTGGACATGATGACTGCGTGGTCCCAACCTCGGCCGGCTTTGCTGATGCAGGTGCTTGCATACAGTGGGGGGGGGCGACCGCAGGAAACCCCTTCCACAATAATGAGACGACAGGACGCCCATGGACTTCTGGTGTAGGAGCGCCACGCTATCCACAGCAAAACCATCGAAACCCAAGAAACTCAGCGCACCCTGGAGGCAAGCAGGGTGTTTCTTGGCATGGGCCTCCACTGTATTTGGGACTGATGTCGGGGTTGCAAAAGATCGACCTTGACTGGTCCGCGCGGTCGACGCCCACGATGACGACGACGACGACGACGCCCACGACGACGTCGCCGACGAACACGACGTTTCGTTTCGCAAGCGTCTTGCAAAAGGCGGCTCCTGGCCCCAACGCTGCTGAGCTGATCCACTTGCTAGGGGGCAGTCTGGGCTTATCTCAAAATTTGGCGCCATTCAAGCCAAGCGCGCTGCCCATCAGCCCATGACTGCTTAGAGTATGGTTTGGCGAGCCAGGCGAAGCCAAAATAGTTATAGAAATCTCTCTCCCAGCCCCATATTCCTACCGTACGGTGGTGCAGCTGGGAGCCCGAAGAACGTTGCATTGACGTCATCGAGGACCTGTCCCGATACCTAAGGATGCGATAGGCTATACGATCGGGGCTGGACAGAGCCATTCCCTGGAGGTGCCCTGCCCAAACGTGGGACAGGCGCCTGCAGGTTTGCGGCCACGGGTCGATATCGTATTTAGTGCGGGTGGCGGCAACTAGTGACATGGCATTCTTCATATGTTCGTCTGCAGTGTCGGCTGGGGACGGGCGGACTATTCGCCCCAGCATAGTGTCATGGCATTTGGAGAGGCGACTAAGCCCAGAGACCGTCAAGTGCAGGCTCCCGATACAATAAGTGAGGGCAGGGCGAACACAGCGGTCCAGGGCTTTAAGTCGCTTACTGAGGCTGATTTTGGGATTGACGAGCATTTTCTTGTGTGCAGCCCGCGCGCGCCACGCGCGTTGGATCCGATTGCCCACCTCCGCCGTGCAGCTGCGATCGAAGGCTATGTACGCCCCTAAAACCCCGAGGCATTCCGCCCTTTCGCGGCAGGGGGTCAAGGTGCCATTCACAATAGCGTGCCGATATAAGTGGGATACGTGTGGCACCACTCCATCTCATCGACTGGAACCTCCAGGCCGCTTTTGCCTAAAATGCGGAGCCAGTTCTCGGTCATGACTGCGGCCATCGAGGCCGATCGAGCTAAAATCCAAAAGCTGTCGGCAAAGCTCAGAATCCCTAGGTTTAAATCTCCCCCCCCCCCCCCCCCGGGCATCGTGAGACAGAGCCCCCACCCGTTCTCACGGCAGAGGTGCTGGAATTTGCGGAGGTCCGCATCCAGGAAAACGCTGCTAAATTCGGGCGCCGCGGGGTCTCCCTGGATCAGACCCCTCTCCCGACGGACGCTTTTGGTGAAGGGGTTGCCAGGCGATCTGATACGAGCGGCAGAGTTGCGGGTCTCTCTAATCCAGAAGCTGCTGGCGACGCGGGACACTCCGTGCTCATCACGGCGCTGTGCCAGGAGGGGGTGTCGGATGTAATCATAAAACTTACGGATATCATCCGACGACCACGAGTGGAGGGTCACGATATTCACAAAACTTTTCAACTAGATGACAAAGGCTATATATAATTTCGCGCACCTGATAGCTACGGCGGAACGCAAACTGGCACTCAGAACGATCGGTCTCCAGGATCGGGCGCTGGACCTCCAGGGCCATCATCGACCGGATTTTCAGCAACACCGAGGCCAGGGCAATGGGTCTGAACTCGGCCACCTTCTGGGCTTCAGTTTTCTTGCGAATCAGCTGAACAACGTGCTCTGTCCAGGCCTGGTCGAAATACTCACTCACGTGGCTGCAGAGTCGCAGACGAAAAGCCGCGAGGATCTGTTCGAGGGCATCGTCCTGGAGCCCCTGGATCATCCCAGCCACGATCATGTCAGACTCGGCGCATGATTTGCTACTCGTCAGTTGCCCAATGACTGTTTTGAGAAGAGGAAGGGAGAGAGGGGCCTCCGCCTGCTGGTGCTCGGCGGCCCACTGGCTATACACCCAAGCGGGCAGAGCCTGGTCGCTGGTCGGGTCGGCGAACAGGTTGGCGTAGAAGGCGCGGGTCAGCTCGCAGCGGGCCTGCGCGGCGTTGGCGCTCTGGCCGTCGTCCGTCTTCAGCTCGCACACGGGCTTGCCCGAGCGGTAGGGTCTGTCGGCCCGCCCCCTCGCGCACAGTCGCTCCAAGTTGACAGCGTTGCAGCGGCCCCTCAAGGCGCGCTCGGCCGTGGCCACCGCGGGCCCCAGCAGGCGCCGCGCGCGTAGGTCCGACTCCTGCGCGCGCAGCTGCCCCAGGCGCATCAGGTGGAGGAGCTCGGGGTCGCCCAGCGGAGGTCTCCAGCGCCCCCGTCGAGGGACGCGGCCGGCCGCAGCTGCGCCAGCGGAGATCGCCATCGCCAGCGCGGAGATGGACGGGGTGCCCTGTCTGGAGCACGCGGCCAGCCTTGGCTGCGGGTTGAAGAGCTGTGCGAAGGTGTCGCCGCCATCCTCCCTGGATATCTCCGAGCAACGCCTTTTGCGGGCTCTGGTCTCGGCGAGCTTGTGTTCACTCACTCGTTGTCGGTACTCTTCCGCTCCCCAATCGTGAGCAGGGCATGGCCGTCTCCAGCGAGCAGTTTTGAAGCGCCAGTCAGCCCCCCGTTTCGCCCAGAAGTCCGCCTTCTCATTGCCAATGTTGCCGCTGCGCCCCTTGACCCAGCATACGTGCAAGTCAAAGTACGCGGCGGCCCTCTTCCACAAGTGCACGGCCAGGGTCGCCAAAGGAGCATTCTCACGTGGTTGGAATACTTCAGTGATGAGCCCCTGGACGCACGTCGAGTCGGCAATCACCTGGATGAGTCCACCGTCCTGGGCCGTCGGCTCCGAGGAGCCTCGCCGCCCCAGCAACCATGGGAGCGCCCCCCCGCGATCGCCGAGAGCTCCCCCGTGTTCGCTGCGAGGGGGCACGCGCCCAAGTAGCGGGGGTCCTGAGGATGGGTGACCACAGGGCCACACGCCTCGACCATCGGCTCGTCCTGGTCGTGTGGCGAGGTGGCGCGGTAGACGGCAAAGCTCCATCCTGCGCAGGAAGCCAGGTGCTTCCCGCATCTTCGCCCCCGCGCCGAGCCGCCCGTGAAGATGCCCAGCGCGTTCGCGAGGTCGCCCTCGGCGAGGCCGCCCACCGCGGTCGGGGAGTACGGCGCCTGCAACGTCGAGCAGACCGTCTCATTGAACAGGTAGGCGTCTTCCAGCTGCCAGGCGACGGGCTTGCGCGGCGGCCGCTCCATCAGGTCAGCGCCCTCGATGGCTTGCTCGGGCTCGGTGGTCGGGATAGCCTTGGACGCATGGCAGCGCAATAGCATGGGAAGGTGGTCGCTCTGCTCCGCGTCCGTGAAGCGGGCTCGTCAAGTCACTGAGGTGAGCCAGCCGCGGTGGCACAACGTGAAGTCGATCTGTCCTGGCTCTTTACGGCTGTCGCAATAGCACGCGGCTTGTCCCCGTTGTCCTCGGGAGAAAGTATTGGTGGCAACTAAGTCGACTTCAGTCATCAGATCGAATGGCATCTCACCCCGCCATGTCATCTTGGTGGCCGAGTATTGGCCAACCGTCTCTCCGTCCCCAATCCCCAGGCCGCCCTGGGCGTCGACGCTGACAATGGCGTGACAATCAATAGACATCGTGATCAGACACTCCCTGAGCTGCGCGATGGCCTCAGCGTACTCACAACGAACAATGTGCGAAAACTGGTGGCTTGTAATCAGTCGAGCGCGTCCCCAGACAGGTAGCTGCAAGTCCAGGGACATGGCGCGAGCGCGGAAGCTCGGCGGGCCCACGATGGAAGGGGCCAAGGGTTCATGGACCGCTATCGCGCATTTTTGCCAGGCCCCCGCTGGAGGCGACACGTGAACGGCATAGCCATCGAAGGGCTGCACGGCTCCACCAGCCACGCACCACTCTTGGAAAAAGATATCACGGGCATCAAACTCAGCATGCAGATCGTCGAGGAGTTGTTGCCGCCTCCTGGCTCCACGGGCGCCTCTCGCATTCCACCCCAGAACTGTAAGGTCCCTGACGTCCCTGGCGAAGCGGCGACCCCTCGACTTTAATCACTGGGGCCTGGGCGGGTCGTTGATCTCCCCAAGCCGCTCAGGGAGCTTGAACTCAGCGGGCTCCTGGTCCAGCAGCGCCTTGGCGAGCGGCTCGGTACAGATCTCCATCAGATCCGTGGCGCGCAAGCGCTGCAGGATCCTGATCGGCCTCTCGTTCCCGCTGCGACGAAAGACCACCTGGCCGCGGTCCCAGTCGCCGTCAAAAGTCTTCATCTTCGAGTCCGCTGTGCAGAGGTTCTTGGCTTCACCATATTCTCTGAGCAGCCTCACGGCGTAGGAGACACGCCTTGATAGCTCCACCTCGCGGGGCTCCTGGTCGACTTTGTGCCACAGCTGGTCATTCTTGGCCCCCTGGCACGGTATCTTTCGACCCTTCCAGGCCTTCATGAAATTCCACATCTGCCGATTGCTTCCGAATACCACCTTCGCCTGATCACAGAATCGCCCAACACCATAGATCTCTGCGATGCCCTGCGACTCGAGTGAGGCCCTCTCGCTCAACTTCGCTCGAAGGTGGGCCTCGACCTCGTCCTTGTCCCACGTGCCAGGGAAGCCCGCCACGAAAACCACATGCTTCGTATTCGTTCCTCCGCGCGGGGCCTGGGGAGCGACGAACTGATTCTGGTCGCTGGGGCCTCTACGCAGGTAGTCGCCCCACGGGTCCGCCTGGCACGCCTGCCCCGAGCCCAGTCCTGGCCGCAGAGGAACTCCACGGCCAGCAGCCGTGCTGGCATTTGACGACGGGGCCCGCGAGGCCGCCTCCAGAGCGTCGAGCCGAGCGCGCTGGGCCCGGTGCTCAGCCTGTATGGACGAGATGGAGGCCGAGCTGGAGTTCACCGTGGCCTGCAAGGCCGCAACCTGGGCCTCAACGGCGTCCACCTTCACACTCATGCTAGTGGTCACCGCACTGATGATATACTGGGCCAACGCCATCTGCGACGGGTCTTGCGGGGGTGGCGGCAGCTTGGCGCGGCCTCCCACGGGGACTGTCAGAGCGGCTCCGCCCGTCGCAGCAGGGCCCGCTTCGGCGTCCGTCAACTCTTCGTCGTCCAGCTCCACGGTAGGGGCCTCGCCTGTCTTCTGGCGGATCCGACGGCCCTCGGCGTCGGCCCCCGCGCCACTAGCGGCCGCGGCCGTGCCAGGAAGCGGGGGCATGGGCGCGAACATGGCTGCAGCAAAATGCGCGTTCCAAATGTGTCTGGCAGAAAGCGAGAGTGCGAGACTCGGGCCAGGCCGAGCAGAAGAACGTCTTAGGTCGGCGGGCGCCCGACCAGGACTCGGAGAGTGCCCGTCCTGACAGGGTGCCGTCTTGAGTCAAAATGACGAACACGACGACGACGCCGACGACCAGAGGAATAAGGGAGGACTGCTCCACGATCCTCGCCCCTTATGGCCTCCGAAGGGGGCTCTCTCGTCGCAGCGGCTGTGGATCCGACTCGGAGTCATGGTCAGAACGCGCTCCGCGACAGGTCAGGGGCTCGCCTCTGAAGGCCGAATCTTGTGGAAGCCCTGCGAATGCGCAACATGACAGAGCAATGACCTCGTGCGTGATCCCACTTCAGTCATGCACTTGGCTGGCCCAGCGCCGATCCACGACATCCGTGCGGGGCTCCAAAGTCTCATATATGAGAGGAGGGAGCCGAGAGGGGGGGCAAGCCTTCTCGGAAGACCGCGGGGCTTCGGAGAAGGCTCAGAAAGCTTGTCAAAGGCTAGCGTTATGTCGGGCGTGTCCCCCTACAGGGGGATTTCGACGAAAAAAAAGATACCCCAAACATGCGCCAAAAAATAGTCTCGAGACAATGTGTGGATTATTTTCCTATAACGTTTTTAGTATGTTTTATTTTTCGTCGAAAATCCCCCCGTAGGGGGGCAGGCCCGACTTAAGGCTAGCAGCCTTAAGAGCAGTCTGAGGCGGCCCGCCCCCTCTTGGGCGCCCGAGTTATCCGGGGTAACTCGGGTCCAGGGTAACTCGGGCTTGGATTCCCGAAAAAGGAACCCGAGTTAGCCCTGACCCGAGTTACCCCCGATGATATGGGGCTCTGGACGCCCGAGTTATCCGGGGTAACTCGGGTCCGGGGTAACTCGGGCTTGGATTCCCGAAAAACGAACCTGGAGGAGGAGGAGGAGGAGGAGGAGGAGGAGGAGGAGGAGCAGGAGGAGGAGGAGGCGAAGGAAGAGGAGGAAAAGGAGGACGGAGGAGGAGGAGGAGGAGGAGGAGGAGAAGGAGGAGGAGGAGGAGGAGGAGGAGGGAGGGGGAGTTGGAGGAGGAATTATCCCTGACCCGAGTTACCCCTGATGACTCCGGGCTCTGACCCTCTGCCGTCCCCCCGTGCGGCCGGCCGGAAGACAGCACCGCGCACCGGACTCCCTTTGGCCCCCGCTGCGCACCTGCCGGCCTCTCTGGGAGGCAGCGGAGCCAACAGCTGCGGGCCCCGAGGATGTGCACCACCATCACGTCGATCCCGCCTCCCTGCGCCTCCCTCTCCTCTCACCCGGGCGAGGGAGGGGGGGAACGAGGGAGGTGGTGGTGGTGTATACCCTTGGGGTCTCGAAACGACTGCATGAACGTACACTTTTGGAGATCGGCGCGGAGCTCTTGGATTTGAGCAGGGACCGACCGTCCCGGCATTGCTATAGTCCTACCACGAAATGTTCTTAGAACCAAAAAAGTTCTAAAAATAAAAAACAATGTTCTTAGAACAAAAGACCGATGTGTTAAAACAAGACAGTCCCTGCCAGAAATGTTCCAATAACATTTCGTGCAGACCACAAAAGGTTGTTTGAAAATTGTTTGGTGGGGGCTTTAGGCGAGCCAGGACGCTTCGCCACTGCTTGATGGATCGGCGCTGGACCCCCCCAACCCCACCTCCCCCGGCGGCGTCGGGGGCACCGGCGACGTCGGCGTGGAGAATATCGTGACCCACATCGATCTGCATCCTCGCTGCATCGGCGACGTGGCGCCGCGATCCTCCGACCCCGTCTGCTCCGGCCCTGCCTCGGAGGCCTCGAGCTCCCCCGCCCGCTGGAGAGAACGCCCTGCCGGCACGAGAGGCGGGGGTCGCCGGAGGAGCGGGCTCATGTGGAACCCTCCGCACGGCCCAAGGACTGCGTGGGCCCCCGAAACGGCAGGGCCCTTTTTTTCACCGTTTCCAAAAGAAAGGCCCCTTGAAAATGGAAACGGCAAAAACGGCGACCGGAAACGGCAACAAAAACGGCTCCAGGATTGGAACTGGAGCTAGAACCCGTAAAAGAACGGCGACGGAACAGGAAAAAAACACGGCGTCGGAACCGGCAACAACAACGGCAAGGCGGAACCGGTAACAAAAACGGCCCTGTCGCTTCCAGGGCCCACTAAGGCTCTGGGGAAACCTCCGCACTCCCCAGGGGTCCTTGGCGGCAGGAGGCGCGAGGCGAGGCGCCGACGTACACGTCCAGCTGGGATGACCGTGGGGGGTTCTAAGTGGATAGGGGGGTTACGCGTGGATGCTAAGGTGGGTCATATCTGGCCCAACCTGGTTTATAAGTGGGTTACAAGTGCCCTAAGTAGCTTAGGTTGACGATCTGGGCTAAGTGGGCTCCGCCCACTTAGCGGAGTTATCTAGCCCCCCTACGCCATTCGGGGCGCTTGTAACCCACTTATAAGCCAGGTTGGGCCAGGTATAACCCACCTTAGCATCCACGCGTAACCCCCTTATCCACTTAGAACCCCCCACGGTCATCTCAGAGGAAGACGGCCCATCATTACGAGAGCACGGCGGTCTTGGGCTGGAGCCCCGCCTGCGTGGCTGGATCCCCGTGCGAGTCATGGAGCGCGGAAGCTCGCCGACGAGGAGGGAGGGCAGCGACGACGCCGACGACGACGATAACAACGAGGAAAATAATACTGATAATCCTCTGGCCCTCTCTTGGTGCGCAAGGCTGCAAAAAGGTGTGTGCGGTCTGCTGCCATGTGCTATGTGTTGTCATTTGTTGTTTGGCAGCTTGTCCCTCCAGTCCTGTTTCCTGCCTCCTGTTCAGTGTCTCCTAGGGGGCCCCGCCGCGCCACCAAACAGCCAACGGGGGGGGGAACATCAAATCCTGACTGCTCCGGGCCACCCCAGGATTCTCATGGTGACGCCACCGCACGGCCAGAAAGGCCCGAGCCAAGATTGCCCGAAGAGGCTCCGAAGAGAGCCTCAGGAGCCCAAGACGGCCCGAGATGGCCCCACGATGTCCCACGATGGCCCCAAGACGGCCCAAGATGCTGCAAAGATGGCCCAAGAGTCCTCCAAGAGGCTTCCCAAGAGGGCCCCACGAAGCAAACATCATATATGTTCCTTTTTTGAAGGTTTTCGGCCTTCTCGCCTTTTCGGCTTTCCGACGCTCCGAGACGGACCAAGTTCCCAAGATCGCCCCACGACGGCCATAAGCTCCCATGATTGCCCCAAGAGGCCCCCAAGACGGCCCCAAGACAGCCGAAGAAGGCTCCAAGACGGTCCAAGAGGCGCCCCACACGGCCCAAAAGGGCCCTAAGACGGTCCCGAGAGAGGCCCAAGAGAGAGTGGAGTCCACGAACCGAAAACTCGACCTCTCCGACCCGAAAGGGCCCCAGGAGGCCCCAAGAAGGTCCAAAGAAGCCCCGAGAGGCCCCCAAAAGGCCCCCCAGAGGCCCAAGCAGAACCCCGAAAAACCCAAATTATGCTCCAAAAGGCTCCAACACGGCTTACAAGAAGCTCCGTCAATGACCCACAGACGCTGCCGAGAAGCCTGCCACGAGAAGAACCCACGGCGCAATCCACGCAGCCTCACGCACTAGTAATAGGGAGGCCGCTGGCAGAGGGCGAACTACTTGATATAGCATTATCAATTTGGAAGATAATGCTAGTAACAGTAATGCTATACATGATGATGATGATGATGATGATGATGATGATGATGATGATGATGATGATGATGATGAAGATGCTGATGATGATGAAGAAGACGAAGAATATGATGATGACGATGATGATGATGATGATGATGATGATGCTGATGCTGATGGTGATGATGATGCTGATGATGATGGTGTTGATGATGCTGGTGAAGATGCTGATGATGATGATGATGCTGATGATGATGATGATGGTGAGGATGAGTATGGTGGCGATGATGCTGATGGTGGTGATGATGATACTTATGATGATGATAATGATGATGATGATGATGATGATGATGGTGATGGTGATGGTGATGGTGATGGTGGTGGTGGTGGTGATGATGATGATGATGATGATGATGATGATGATGATGGTCATTGATGATGGTGACGACGACGACGAACAGTGAGATCCAGGACGACAAATTGGCAGCGGGATGGGGAGGAACAGATAGACCAGGAGGATCGAGGCGCAGACGCAGAGGCGGGGAGAGAGGTTGTGTGACGTTGTCGAATAGGTGGTTAGGAGTGTTTTCGACGGTCGTGTTATGTGCTGGAAAAGTTTTTGGTTTTATGCGATTTTCCTTGTGATGCATGCTCTGTGATTCTTCTGTCGTTATATATTTTGGAGAGGGACTCGCAGGATCTTGAGGGCACGAAAGAGTCCGGCCGCACACAAGAGTGTCTCGTGGGCAAGAGTGGCCTTCTTGTGCGCTCTGGGGGCGGTCCTGAGGCCCCCGCACCCGTAGGTGGCCTTCTGGTTGGTTCGGAGTGGAATCGGTGTAGGGCTCCCAAATTCGCGCTTCGCGCTGCGCGAAGCGCGAAGCGCGAATAACTTCGCGCTCTCGCGCCGCCCTCCCAATGGGAGAATAGGAGGACGAGGAGGAGGGGGAGGAGGAACGAGGACCGCGAAGCGCGAAGCGCGAATAACTTCGCGCCCTCGGGGGAGCCCTTGGGGATCGCGCCGCATCGCCGAAGCATCGACGACGCGTCGCCGATGCATCGACGACGCATCGGCGACGTCGGCGGTGCATCGGCGACGCCCGCGTGAAGAAAATCGGGCTCTGCATCGAGCCGCATCGCCGATGAATCCGCGGTGCGGCGCGATCCTCCGAAGCCATCTAGTTACTCGGACCCAACATAGGAGGCGTAGAGCGGGCTCCTACTGACCCGGGTCAATCCAAGCCCGAGCCGGTCAGGCTTCGCAATATCCGGCAAGACCCTGCAAGTGCCGCCTGCAAAATCCTGTAGGACCCTGCGCGCAAGGCCG